AAATTGCTGCTACTCTTCTGAATACTGTATCAGTGAACGGTACTATCCTTGACCCAGTTGCTCTAATACAATACCTGGGAGTCTCTGGACTCCTCCCTCTCCCTTCTTCCACATGCAATTTATTTCCAAGCGCTCTCAGTATTTCCTCTCCTAACTCTCCTTTTTTTCTCCATCCCAGTGCTCCTAGCCTAACGCAGAGGACTAACATTCCTCACCTCTTAAGAGGATCTCCCTCCCCTCTCCTCTCATCCCCTCCAATCCATCTGAATATTGATAGATTGTTGATTCGTGACATAACCCCACCTAAAATCCCTCAATATTCATAGGTTCGAATCTAACAAGGCCTTCAGAAATCATGACCTTCGCCTACTGGTTTAGTCCTCTCTCTCCTTCACACATTAGGATATAGTCATGTTCATTTGCATTCCCATAAATGTTCCATATGAACCTTGGTCAACCTCAGGGACTTTACATAACGGGTTGGATGATACTCACACTGAAGTGCCCAATTTCCACACAATCTAAATTTAGACATCACTTCCGAGATCTGGGATCTCTACCTCCACCCCAGATTAGGTGCCCCCCTTGTACTTCTATCACAATTTACACACTGTATTATATAATTTTGCTTTCTTAAGAATATAGACTTCATGAGGATAGAGACCATTTATATCTTGTTTGCCACTGTAAACAAGTTCAGCACAGTGCCCGGCACTCCATTTAATTAACTGTTGATAGAAATTAAACTGAATCATCTTTATTTTCATCTCTTTATTCTTGTCCTTGTGATCTGGAAGCATTTCTGAACCTTGTCTTCTACTGATTCAAATTTCTGCTTTGTCATTTCTGGTATTTATCAAGTTTAATGCATCTAATTTTACTAGTCTTTTTCAATTGTGTGTCATTTTCATTTTTCCTCATTTTTGCCCAACTTCCATAATGACCTGCACATCTTTTTAGCATTTAGAATATAAAGTATACATTCTAAAAACATGCTACGGCAATAAATGTATTTTAGAGCTAAGTGAATATCCGAGTCGTCTGGGACACCGGTTTTTTTTGCCGGGGGGGGGGGTGGTAGTGCTGCAATTGTTATTCCCAATTCCACAATTTTCCTTTCTTTGCCCTTATTTATTAAGGCCTGGTTTGAATTTGGGCAAAAGCGTAAGATTAGACACTCTAGGGATTATTTGGCTGTTAACATACAGACTGGACCAGGACTACACCTTTGTAAAGGATTCAGGGTGGAGGGCAAGAGACAGAGGAGAGGTGGAAAGGAAGCACTCAACAGGAACGAAGAACTTTTTTGAAATTCACTGCAGATGCATGCACACCTCTCTGGTACAAAAAGAAAAAAAAATTAGCTACAACATATTATGTGAAAGATTTCTACCAATATGTCTTCTGTGTAAAAATAGTGATCAGAGCAAATGCCACCCGTGGCCTTCTCTTAGAAACAAATGATTCTGAGGTGGTAGAACAGAGGAAACCATATCCCAATGTTCTAAAATAAAGTATTAAGGGCTCTGGCTGCTGCAGAAAAGGTTATATATTTCATTTAAAGTTTAGAATATGACCACTTGACCTATTTTACTAGAATCACATAGACAATGTTCTGTTTTCCAACCCTTCCTTTATTCTTCAGGGAAATTCAAGTATGTGTGTATATGTGTATGGGTGTGTTGGGTATATGGGAAGTTTTTCACTGTGCATTTCTACTGGTAGTTTGGCCATAATTTTTAAGAACTAAGTGTGTTACTGTTACTAAGCTGGTCCAGGAATGCACTGCCCCAAATCTGCTCTTTTTGATAGCAGCAAATGATTAAGATGTCAGGTGAAATTAAGAAGGAGTAGGACGACTAGGGAAAGGTGATCTTTAAGCGCTACATTCAAGTTACATGACATTAGCATAACTTACTCAATATTGATAGTATGCATATATTAAAGCAAATATATGTGTAACATCTCACAGTTAAGGAATAAGTCTTTAGTAAGGTTCCAAAAAATACTAGCTTCCCTATGTAGAAAAGACAGCTACTACACATAATTTTAAAAGTTACCATATCAAATACATGGCTCTTTTGCAAAGCATCATAGTAATCTGAAAGAAAAGAGTTCACATTTTCAAATAAACACAAAATAAAACAATTAATTCTGAATAAGTAGTAACAACTTTATTTTAACTCAACGTGCTGAAATGCAAAAAATATTTTCAGCAATAAGATACAAAAAGTATGTATCTCATCAACATCAGCTGATTAAAAATGAGGCTGAAAAATTCAATATAAGTCTTTATACATTTGAATCTTGAAAATCAATTTCCCCCAGAACTAATTTTTAAATAATTTTAGCAGAATTTTATTTTCAAAAGTGGGACTCACTTAAGTTATATCTTTATTCTAAAAAAACTGAAGGCAAAATTAACTGGATTACAGTATACAATGATAAACTCGAACAACATAAAAAGATTTAAATATAAGAATTCCTTTTCAACCATAAAATCCACATACTGCAAACAGAAGACACGGTGTGGTGATTTCATTACTAGTGAAGAGGAAGTCTTGCATATGGTAGGCACTCAATATTTGTTCAACTGGACCTAAAATTTACATCATTCCATGGACACTTAAATAAAGTAGAGCTCATAATCTGTATAAAAGAGGTTTGCAAAATACTCTTATGTATGCTGAAAGTGCTGTCTTTATAATTTGAAAACACTAAAACCCACTCACCTTATTTTGCAAGAATACATTGAATATTTTTATTTTATCCATCAAAGAGCTTGAATGTCCAACTCAGAATTCACCTCTTCATGTATACTTGGCTATGAGAAAAGCTTGTTGAGTTGGATTTTAACAAAACTTATGAAGTCCCTCGTGTTCTATTTTAGTAACACTGGGTAGTATCTATGATCCACATTTTTATAAAGAATTCTGCTTAGGTTTTAAATTTATGCACAAAACTTAAATGGGTAAATAAATTAGTAATTATACTTTTGGCAATATAAACTCTAGCTTAGGTCTAGTTTAAAAATAAGCCAGTAATGTTCATGACAACTTTTTAAGAGATTTTTGTTAATATTTTAAAACTTAACTTTAAAATTGATGTCCTGAAAAGGCACTGTTTTCACATTTCATCATTCAGTAAATTGGTGATGTTTTTGAGAATTTTAATTTCCTCTGTCAATTAACTGTCCCCCAAAATAAAGCACATGAAATATTTCAACTAACCCGAACTTTCAGCATTTAACTGAGTCCTATTTTCAGAAATTCACTCTTTTGAACATACCACATACAAAGGTCATAGCATACATAGGTCATACAAAGGTCAAGCAAATATAAGTACGTCTACAACACACTCACACACACACACGCCCAAATGACCACGTAATACATGCAAGGTTCTTCAATTACTATTTCAAGACAATGACATGAGTATTCAAGGAGGTAACAATGGCAAGCCATATATTATGGCACCTTCATATTTGTGCTCCAAATACCGATACAGGTTAAAATTAAAAACCGAAAAAGGCACAAATATATTGTTTCTGTATCTCAATCTAAAGAACAGTTCTCCAATGCTTACTTTCATAATATATAACATTTAAAACCAGTCACTACTTTTCTAAGGAAAAGCTGTTTAGGTGATAAACGGGGAAAGAGGAGCAGACTGATGGTTCAAAAGGCAAGGCTGCTGTAGACAGAATTTGTGCCTAGTGAAAACACTGTATGTAGTTAAAAAAAAAAAGGCTATTAGAGCACTCATGTCAGAATACATTAGCAGATTTTTATCATTGCCTCAAGAACCAACAATACCAAAAACATACATAATAAATAAAAAAAATAAATCAACTACCATACGACTCTGTTAGTATAATGGTAGGCATTATATTATCTCAAAAGTGAACATTTCTACAAACGTGGATATTCTTACAGCACAGTGTTTGACGTTTTTTGGTATAAAATGTGCTACCAACCTAAAGAAGAATTCTTTAAAATAAAACCCTTAAGATTTGCAATAAACACTAAAATAAGTAAGTAAGGGCAAGCTGAAATGTTTATTATATGGTGTTATTACTGAAGTCACTATGGTTAGAAATGTAGACTCAAGCAGTGAATTAATTCACAATGTGCCTGTGTGCATTTAATATAAATGGATACACCAGTATCTTTTTTTTGAAGTATGACAATAAAATTCTACAGCCTGAGTAAGGAATTTTTGTTTTCTTATAAGACCCTGGCAAAATCTTAAAATGTATACCCATGTGTGTGTGCATTTTTTAAATTGTACATCGTAAATTTAAAAAACTCAATCTTACGGTGAAGTTAAGGAAGTGAGTTTGTGATCTCTATAGTACTTTTACATAGGATGGAGTCCATTAACATGTAAGAATCTTTCTTCTAATCCAAGGGATTCTTCCAATTTCAAATTTAAGTTAATACAACAAAGACTCAAACTACACAGAAAGAAACGAAGATGTCAGAAAATATGATCTGTTCAAACTCCAGTTTGTTGTGGATAACAAATGCTTATTTGACAGTGTCTGTTCAATGTAAATATAAATTACACTTGATATTAGGACTGCTTCAGTGAGTACCTAACAGATAACAAAAATAAAATCTATTTTAAAATCTCAGGCTTCACTTTTTTCCTTTTGTCCTGAATTCAAAAACTAAACAAATTATACAAATTTTAATTGGGAGATTAAAGTTATATATGCAAATATATAGGTATCTGCATTTTTTTTTCCAGTGACACATTTTTTTCGTTGTGCTCAAATATAAGTCTTGCCTAAGAAGGATGCTGTCACTGTTGCACGCAAGCAGATGCAGCAACTTGTCACTGATCACTCCTACTTCTCTGGGACAATGCACCAGAACAGACCTCCACTGCGAACACAGCTATCAAACACTGAACATGCATATGTGTTTAAAGCAAAAATTCATTTATAATAAAGAACTGGCCCATGAAAAGCAGTTTATAAATAGTTTATCCTGTTCACATTACGCAGAATTTCAATATCACCCACAATGTTAGTACAGTAACTGAAAGAGAAAAGAGAAAGCTAGGGGGAAAAAACGGGTTAGAGTGTGGTCTGACATATTTCTAAGGGTTCTCTCCTTTGGTCTGCAAATAATATCAGTTCATTGTTTTTAGGAGAGTAGACTGTCCAGGATTCGTCTGCTGTTCAGGTGCTTTCTCCAAAGTATGATAAAACAGGAGTAAATTCAATAATGAATATCTGAAATTCAAACCAATTTAACTATAATCAAGGATATCTTTCTTATCTATTATCACAAACATCCCAGTTACCTCCATCTGTCTTTAAAAATTCTTTCAAAAGTTAAGACACAATTAATTATACCTTATTAATTTCCTCAAAAGCAAAAAAATATATGTACCACTGAGCATACAAAAGTTACACATTAAAAGTGCATATATATCTTTCGTAATTGGCCCACTCATTAATTTACATTTGGTCATCCTTACTTTTAACATATACAGAATTCTTCATATAAATGTAGGTCACTATAAATTAAAAAAAATTAATTCAGCACAAAACATGCTTTCTTATTGAAACCTTAACCTCAATCAGTTCTCAATCATTGTAAACTTGGATAAACCCACAAAGAAACACAAGCAAAGGTTTGTTATGCTTCTCTTAGTTTGCTGGACAGTTAACATATAGACAAACATCACAAATTTTACTAAAAATTTGGGCCAATTCATTGCATATTTGCCCTCTGAAATGAAAAATAAATTAGAATTGAAGCAGTGTATTGCCACAACTTACCTTGAAGGTAAGAAGGTTCTCCTGTATTTACAGAACTTAGATTGGAAATATTACCAGTAATCTCCAATACAAGTGCTTTTAAGGAGAACCTAGTTTTAAACTTTGAGATAGCATACGACAAACCCTATAAAATTCATTTTGCTTTTCTCAAACTAATGGAAGATCCTTTTGAAACTTATCATCTTCAGTTATCAATATTACTGCATTATGGAGCTAGTGCAATCTGGCATAGCCTTGGTCAAAATGACAAGGCACAATAAAAAAATTAAAGTATTATATGAACAAGAGAAGTCACTGAAGATAATTTAAGGCCTTGAAGTGAATTAGAGTATAATCAGTCTAATTTAAAGCTGAAGAATAAACCATAAATTATCCACCTGAAATGCAAGCAATACGCTTTTTCAGCTTCTGTTTGTGGACTAGACAACAGAAACAACTCTTGCTTATGGTTTGTATATTAGAATCCTTCTGGACCTGGAGGAGTAAAAGTCAATTCCATTTTTCTACAGTTCATGGAAGATTTCAGGACTGTTTTAGCCGTTTGCGTGGAATGCCAAACTGTGGACACTGTGCAGATGCTAGTGCTCTGAAGGCTTCTGCTACTAAATGGGGATGAGACTGAATCATGGACTTCCACCCTGACGTTTCCATTATGTCCGTTGCTTGGCTGAAAAAGAAAATTAAGAGATGTTTATTAAAGGGTACTTTCCAAAACACATTGTTGCATTGTCAATTTTTTTTTTAAGTTACAGATTTCAAAATGTTTTCAACACTTTGCCTCTCTATGTATTCAAACCATTTTAATTCATTAAAATATCATCTTTACCTTACTGGTATTTTCTGTTGCAACTGAAACTACTAAAATTTTTCTGGAAATTCTACTCTCATGAAGTGTATGATACTTGTCTCCACAGTCCCACCCCCTAGTTAAGGCCCACATCATCTCACATTTGGACTATTACAACAGTCTTCTAATTTGTCTTCTAGTGTCCTATCTTGCTTCTCTCAAACCAGCTTCTGTGCTGCCTTAGGTAACATAAATATGACTATATCATGTCCTCTTCTATTGTTCCCCATTGCCTGTATCCAAGTTCTTTAGAAAGAGAAACAAGGTTTCCTACTTCCTCTCTCTAGCCCTGCACCTCCCACGTCCATGCTCTGGCATTTTGCATACTGATACTGAACTGCTTATTGAACACTATGTACAACATGCTCTCACTGAGAGCAAAAACCTAACTGCTCAAACAACAAATCTAGTTACCCTTCCTTGTCTCCTGTCTTGTCCTCTTGTACCCAATCCACCATCCAAATAATATCCAAATATTATAATTGTCCCTTCAAAATATCATACCCTTTCATTTCTCTCTACTCCCACTGTCACCAATCAAGTCTAATTTCATACTTCATCTCTTACCTGAACTACTCCAAAAACTTTCCAACTGGTCAACCTATATATTTAACATTGCTCCTCAACTACCAACACCACCTCAACCTCCCCACATCTATTCTCTACCCTGCATGCAGACAGACTGCTAAAAACGCAAACCTGATCATGCTCTACCCACCCTATGTTAAAACCTTTCACTGGATGCCTATTACTCTTCAAATAACGTCTAACAGCCCTAATGTTATTTACATGGCCTTCCAGGACCTGATCTCTTTCTGCTTTCTCCAGCTTCTTCTCATACCCTCTTTCTCACTCCATATTCTTCTCTCTTGTCACCAAAACTTTGCACACCCGATTCCCTTTTTCTGGGATAAACGTTCTCACCTCTTCCCTCTTCTTCACCTACTAATTCTTAGGGTCTTTATCTATACTCGAAAAGGCTTCCTCTGACCCCTAGATTAGGTCAGGTTCCTTTGCTATATGCTTGGATGGGTATGCTATATGTTACCTATCATCACACTTGATTTCAACTACTTGTTTAATTCCTATTTATCTCCTTCTAAACCATAAACTCCATGAAGGCAAGGGAAACATCTGTCACATTCGCCACTATATTTTTGTACTGAGCACAGTGTCCTAGGTATTTACTGAATAATAAATATAAATATCTATCAAATGAATGATCAACTACTGTTTCATGCTTCTATATTTTGATTCAAGCTATCCTGTCTGCAATGCCTGTCACTTCTTTCTTAGTTCTGCTAATTCCTATTCATGTTTTAAGACTCAGCTCTGCTAATTCCTATTCATGTTTTAGGAAGCCATTCCCCAAACCTCTAGCCTCTGTCAAGTGCCCTGCACATACCCTCTTGTATTACATTACTTACCATATTACAATGAAATGATATATTCATGTATTTGTTTCTTTCATTAGATAAATTTCTCAAGAACAAGGATGTTTCCTCATAATTGTTTTTATATGCAGCACCCTAGCGTGGTGCTTGAGATACAACAAATGCTAGGTAAATGTTTGTTGAACTAAACAGTAGCTAACAAAACAATTTTTTTAATTTGCCTGATATCAAATTACGAGTGTGTCATTATGTTTGTAATTTCAACTAGTTATTTAGAATCACATAGATACCTCTTAATATACTGGGCATTTTCATTTATTTAATTCAACATATATCTATTGAAGGTATGTATATACAACAGCTTCTCCAGGGGAAATAAAATAAACTGATATTTTTTGACACTGAAAAAGTTATACAATGTAGAATATTTTCCTAACAGAATAAAACTAGAGCTTGAGAGTGGCTAAGTATAAAGGATGACAACATTGTCATTTGCTGCTAATACATTGTATTTTAAATTCAAATTGATTTTTTTCTAGGATCACATACCATAATAATGTATTATCACACACTGACCAATATAAAGAACAACCAATAATGTAAAAGTCATCACTAAGTTTTACTTTCAGAAAACAGAATTTACCAACTGATAGGAATTCACAGTTAACCAACTTCATATATATCAAAACACATGAAAGTAATGGGAAATATTTAAGTCAACAAACATTCATTTTATTGTCTCTAACACTGGCTTTTTTTTACTTTTTTATATCAACTTTTGAGAATTTATGAAAATGGAAATTAAGAGTTTACAGGTAAAAACTAATCAAAAGCACATGCAAATTCTTCAACTTATCGACTCTTTACCCTTTTACATTTTGAGTAATTACAAAGAGTAGAAAACTCACTTTAAAAGAGAGAGGGAAAAAAAGGGAATAGTTAAGTTCTCATAGTTTATATTCAGAAGGTCTAAGCTTAGAAGATGTACTAACTACCCCACCCCTTATAGTTTTACCAGGGAAAAGGAAGATCAAATTGCTACCATTTTTGGAATATTAGGCAGCTAGCATAATACAGCATTTGATGCAAGGTACTTGGCTAACCTAAGAAGCAGTGAGTTAGCATTCAACTGTAAAAACTCTCTAGGCAAATCTCGAGAGGGTACATTCCTCAGAGGACAAAAAGAATATTTCCCACATTTTTAGAAATGCTTTCTGAAGGGTCAGGGAAAGGATCTCTAGTAGCCACTGAAATACCTGGACTCAGCTATACACTATGTGAGGATATGTGCTTAAAAAATTAGAGTATCCATCCCAGTTCACACTAGAAGCTGATCTACAGGGGAGCATAGCCTTAAGAATCCACTAAGTAGTAGTCAGATTATTATTATTTTAATAATAACCAGCAGTTTGCTTCATATAACTAATATCTGGATTCATACTTATTATAGATGAACAAAAGGCTATGCAAACACTTAATTTCATATATGCAGATCAACTTTAAGTCAGAAACTGATGTCATCTTACTTGCTGTTCCAGTTTTTCCCATCTTTACACCCAAGCTGTCGAAGTACACTGCACCTGCATTGAAGATTTAAACACACTTAAAAAAAAGTCCGGTGAAAAAATGTTGAAGGTGTCATGCCCAATGACATACAAGCACAGCTTACCTATTAATAAAGTCTATGGCTTGTGCTTTCAACTGTTCTGCACTGTGCAAATCTGCAAGGACAAGGGTATCAGCAACGTTTTCTACTGAGAGGTTACTACACAAAGCTTCTTCACACATGACCTTCAGCCGTTCCAGTGCATACTATCCAAAAGGAAAATATGACCATTAAACATTTACTCAAACTACCAAGTTTTAAATACATGATATTTTAACCTAGAAAGTGAAGTTAAAGCTCATTATACTTTGAACTGAGGGTGCTTTAAGTCGTTAAATTATTTTAACCTAATATAAAGAAAATATGAATAGTACTCAAAAGAAAGACTGATTTTCTTTAGGAAATTTCAATTTGTGTAAGTGCAAAATATTGTGTATTTTAAAAATAGGGTTTTAGTATTTAAAAAAAAAAAAAACCCTTACTACTCAATACTATTAATGAGTATATTTCTGTTCTCTATTATTTTGTCAGAGTGTACCAGCCAGTACACTGCATGTTGCCACTAGTCAATCTTGAAGAATGAATTATAAAGCTAAACAAAACATATTCATAACCACAAAAAATTCGTAGTTATCAGTGTCTATATTATAACACTTTTAGCAGCCTTACTGAAGTATAATTGACATACATGTCAACTATGGTCAAGGATATGGAATAATTAGGACTTTCATACATTGCTGATGGGTACAAACGAATTTGAAAGACCATTTTGCAGATTCTTAAAAAGTTTTACATTTGCCATATGATCCAATGAGTCTACTTTTGGGTTTTTACCCAAGAGAAAAGAAAGCATATGCCCATACTATGACTTTTATATCAATGTTTATAGAAGTTTTATTTATAATAGCTAAAAACTAGAAACACCCAAATGTTCACCAACAGATGAAGGATAAACAAATTGTAGTATGTCTATATACAATGGAATACTACTCAGCAATAAAAAGCATTGAACTATTGATACACAGGCAACAACATGCATGAATCTCAAAATAATTATACTGAATGGAAGAAGCCAGACAAAAATAAGTACAAATTGTATGATTTCATTTATAGAATACTCCAAAAAATACAAACTACAGCAGTAGAAAGCATATGAGAGGTGTTGCTTACTTAGCATGGTTTTTGTAATCTTACCTATCATAATACATGTGCAGAAGTATCTGATCTGATGATAGTGTTAATTTACATTTCCCTAATGACTAAGGATGTTGAGAATCTTTTGATATACCTGATTGACAGTATTTCAGGAAGTGTCGTTCAAATATTTCTCTATTTTTAGAAATAACATTGTTTTCTTATAATTGAATTTTGAGAGTTCTTTATATACTCTGAATCCAAAAGTCCTTTACCAGATATATTTTGGATAAAAGTTGTTCATTAGATATATACTGTGCAAATCTTTTCTCCCAGTCTGTGGTTAGCCTTTCTATTCTCCTAAGCGTGTCTTTTGAAGAAAAGAAGTTTTAAATTTCATTGAAGTCCAATTTATCAATTTTCTTCTTCTATGTATTATGTTTTTGGTGTCATAGCTAAGAAGTCTTTGCCTAACACAAGATTGTGAACACTTTCTCCTATATTTTCTTTTAAAAGTTTTAGATTTTTAAGTTTATAACCAATTTTGCATTACTTTTTGTATATAGTGTGAATTTCATATCCACATACAAAATTCATTTTTTCAAATAAGTTTAATCAAAGTTCATTTTCTTGGGCATACAGGTATCTGATTGTTCCATCACCATTTGTTGAAAAGACTATCCCTTTCTCCACTGAATTGTCTTTGCACTTTATCAAAAATTAGATATCTATACGTGTGACAGTCTATTTCTGTACTCTCTATTCTGTTTCAATGAATTATTTGTCAATCTTGTCATCAATATAACAGTCTCTTAAATACTGAAGCTTTATAATAAGCCTTGTTATCAGGAAGTGTTAGTCCTCTACTTTGATCTTCTTTTCTCAAAGTTATTTGACAATTCTAGGTCCTTGCACTTGCATATAAATTTTTAAATCAGCTTTTCAATTAAAAAAAAATCCTACTAGGGACATTTGGTTCTACTAATCAATTAAGGAGAATCGAAATTTTAACAATATTGAGACTTCCAGTCCATGAACAAGATTTATCTATTTATTTAGGTCTACCTGAATTTCACTTAGCAATATACTGTAATTTTCAGTATACATGTCTCGAACATCTTTGGTCAGATTTATGCCTATGCATTTAATATTTCTGATGCTATTGTGAACGGTTTTTTTTTTTTTCTTGGTGAGGAAGACTGGCCCCGAGCTAACATCTGTTGCCAATCTTCCTCTTTTTGCGTGAGGAAGATTATCACTGAGCTAACATCTGTGCCAGTCTTCCTCTATTTTATATGTGGGAGGCCGCCACAGCATGGTTTGATGAGCAGTGTGTAGGTCCACACCCAGGATCTGAACCTGCGAACTCCAGGCCGCTGAAGTGGAACACACGAACTTAATCACTATGCCACTGGGCTGGCCCTGTGAATGGTATTTTTTAAATTTTTATTGAGATAGTTATAGATTTACGTGCAGTTAAAAATAATAGATTCCATCCATATACACTTGGCCCAGTTTCCCCCAATGGTAACATTTTGCAAAACAAGTATAATATCACTATATATATGCATGTACACACACATGCATACATATACATGGATGGAAGTGGCATGGACATCAATACTTTCGGAGAAAGTTCCTAACGCGCTTTCAGGATTGAGAACTACTGGCTTCGAGATTTTTCTGGTATTTTTGCACTGTCCCTCTATTTTTAAGAAATCATCATTACAAAATTAACATTGTTTTTTCCCTTTCTCTGCTATCATATTAAAAATAAATTTATGAAGAGAAAATTAAATTACACAAAATAACCAATATTTTCTCCTTTCTTAAACAAAGGTTATACACTGCACTTAAGACTAAGATTATCTGAAAATTTCAATAAATTACATATGCTATTGTGTGCGTGTTCTTATAAAACAGAGTAAAGATACACTCAAAACTAATGAGTTTACAGTTTAATCTCCCATGAAAAATTCACTTCTTTCCATATATGGCCGAACATATTTTTATGTTTTATTGACCTAAAAAAAACTCATTTCCATATTATCCCACTGTATGTTATTTCATAATACTCTCAAAAGCCATCTACAAATAGTATAAATTAATTCAATATTTCAAGTTATTTGGGGTTTTCATTTGATGATGGCTTTCTAGCTACATCAAACTTGAGGACATTTTTCAGCTCCTCAAGACCTAATTACTTACTTTGTCTGCAGCTGCCAACAAGTTGTCAGCCATTTTGTCAAGGTTTGGCGCTTTCCCTGTGTAAATGAATCTCATCATTTCTTTAAAAACCTCAGGGTCTACATCATTTATTTCCACTCGATTCTGATATCGAAAACAACACAAAAAAGTTATACTTAAAAAACATACACACACAGACAAATAAACTAAAGCGAAACTTTGACAGTAATTTAAAAGGCCCAAATCTGTATTCAATATTGTTCAACTTGAATATATGTTAAGTCTATTTTAAAGTTGAGCTAAGTAAATCTTCAGTAAGCTAAGCAAGCAGGTCTAAGAGGAGAAGTATATACCCAGCCAAACACTACCATGTAGGAATATAAAGCCCAATTCTCAATTAAAAAGAGTAAAACAAAAACAAACAAACAAAAAACTGTAGGCTGAACAAAATATATCCGTGTTCAGTTTCTGACCTCTATCTTAGGGGAAGATGGCTATTAACTTTTTCTTTGTTGAAATTCCTAGGTCATAATATAATGCCTAAGACCCTATAACCAATGGTTCTATTCCCAGCTTTAAGCACAAGTAGGGTCAGGTATTTGAGATAATTCCAGAGCCCACTAATTTAGAACTCTCCCTTTTGCAAAAATGGCATGTAATATTACTGGCACCTCACCTCTTTGCTTGAGACATACTCAAGTCCAGAAAGGACTAGCTCCTTTTTACTCCCATATCTTTGTATTTCGTTTCTCTCCTGGGATCAATGAAGCTAAATATCTAACACTAAACAACATCAAACATTTCTGACCCTTTGCTGACAATAACATTTGACATCACTGAATCCACTTATTGGTCCACTTACTTGGAAGTGATCAGAAGGCTAAACACTGATCCACTTACTTGGAAGTGATCAGAAGGCTAAACAAAGGACCTGCCTAGACCAACATTCAATGGAAAGAAAACAGTTATTTTGTGGCAGCCTCTTGTTCTGCAGGAAGAATAAAGCTGAGCCACATACACTCTGGAGTTGTCCAGTGGGAGCACTAAGGCTCACATGTAATGCAACCAACAAAGAATCAACCTTTGATCTTTCATCTGACATTTCAAAATAATAGCTTGAAGAGAAACATCTGGGATAATCAAATAGGTAATATCTTGATTACAGTTAATGTATAAGAATACTGAAGTAATTTATATCATTTTTGTTAAATCTAACAAATATCCTCTTATTTTAGCGGTAAAAACAATGTAGGCATTATTTTTGTTCTAGAAAACAAATTCCAAAATCAACTCATAAAGTCTAGAAAGAAGGAATATACTTCTTAATCAGAAAACTCTCAAATAGCTATAGATCACAATAGTTCTTTTGGAAAACCACCCTTTTGGATAACAACTACCCATTTCTTTTACCACCAGATGGACATAAAAATAGCTGTTATTTGGAACATTCACCCACATTAGGCTACATCTATTGTTCTATTATAGAACACATTTTTTCCCATCTTTCTATTTCTTTCTGAAATCACGTATTAACAACGAGAACATGCACCATTATTTTTGAAATATACATTCCAGTATTCTACATTTGTACAAATTAAATATTAGTCTTTAAACCATGTTTACCTTTTTGCTTTCTTCCATTTCATGTTCAAACATTGCATTAAAAACTGGGGATCGAGCTGTAACAAGATTAAGCATCATTATTTAATGCACAAATTTATGAAAGAAATGTACTATATTACCAAAAGTAGAAAGTACCTGCAAGTACAGATTTATGCGCTTTAAATTCTTGTCCTCTCACAAAAAAACTGCAATCTGTAAATCGTGTGTTTTCCCAGAGATTACCTAAATCTTCTGCTAGTCGACATTCAGGCACCTTCAAAGTATTTGTATTAGTATGTCCTGATATATTTACTGAATCTTGGACCACACTCACCTAAAAAAAACGGACAGCAAAAAAACAATTTTACAAGTTAATATCAACAATTAGTTACTAAGTCGATACTCAAATTTCTTATCAATAAAATAATTTAATGTACTCCTGATCAAAAATGCTAATATCTGGGAATTGAATTTAAGGATTCTATTAAAAGGGGAAAAATAATATAGAAAAAAATTTGAAACAAACTAGATATTTTCAAGTGACATTTTATGTAAATAAAGGGCTTATCAATTGGATGGAATGCTTGTTTATTAAAGTAATTACAAAAACTGTTTCTCAACAAGAAAAAAGTCTTAATATGATATTGTCAAAAGCAAATAAGGAGAAGACATTTTTGTGAGGTGGAGGAAGAAATTTCTTTAATTTTTATTTTCTCACACTACAGACCTATCAACACTTGAAGTTTATTATACATACAATAAACATAGCACCATACTTATAATAACCTTTTATATTATTAAAAAAGGTTATAAAACTACAGTCTATGATATACAATTTGAGAGGTATTTTAAGTGTTGTTCCTACACGTTTCAACTCTAGTAAAATTGATTTAAATATCTAGTTATATTGATTTAAATTTTAAAGTACAAGAATTCTCACAAAAGCAACTGTAAAGTTCATGGAAATCTTTTACAAAAAAATTAACAGTAAGAATACAAATAGAATTTAGTTCAATTTGCAGACCTTTTATTTGCCTATGAAATAATCAATAAATAAAAGTTGATATAATTACATTGTTTTTATATATTCAACTATAATATGGATTAAATTATCTCTCATTAAAGATAATTATATACTGAGAAATCCTAAAACACTATTGACTAAAATTCTTACACACCACTTTGAAGAAAAGGTATTCTAATATTATCAGAACTTTCACATTACGTTTAATAAGTTGAAGAAAATATTACCTCAACTGGTAAAGCAAATGTTTCAGAATAAACGATTTTTTACAAAAAGTGCTATATTAGTTATCTACCGTTTTAAGCTAAGTTTTGTGGTCATTCATTATGCAGCAACAGATAACTGTGTTCATTTGAAAACATATTTCATAAGGCTTTAATTAAATAAAAGTAGGTATAAATAAGGAGAAGTATAAATACAGTAAACTGTAGAAAATGTAAATTAGAAATGGATAAACTGGACTGAACTACTAACATGCTAACACAGAAAGCATAATAATGCTTCAGTATAAAATATTTGGAGAATATTAAATCTCAGAAGTCCTCATTCACCCAGATGTATAAACATGTATCTCACGCGAATGGATATTTCTAAAGAAAAACTTTACTTTCTGAGAATATTTTTATTAACCACTTTATTTTTCAAACCTGCATTATTAACCTTTTGGAATCATATGTGTCATAGAAATCACCTAATCCAATCACCTTATTTTATAAAAAGATTTCAAAATGAGATCAAGAGAAGGTAACTAAAGTGTCCTGAATCACATGGCTAGTATCACGGGAAGACTAGACCTTTATCCCCGATTCCTCTTTTTTTAGCATTCTTTGTACTACATAATATGTCTTTGGATATTTTTTAGAATTATTAGTATTACTTTAATGTAATTATGGTTCAGAAAGGATTTATTACAACAATCTTGTCAGATGTTTTTCTAAATATAGGAGCCAAGATATTGTGTACATAAATAAATCCACCAATAAAGGTTCTCCTATAAGTTTTTAACTATTCAAATTGTTTCTAAAATGTTAATAACTGTAAAACAGAAAAAAAGTTTCACTAATCCTTACCTGATCGCCTTATTACACCACTAGAACTTAATGATACATAAACCAAAAATGTTGGTGTTAATATTCCGGGTTTAGTTAGGGATCAGTTTTTTATCACATAGTATTTATTTGTTCATATCCAGCATTGCTCTTGAAATTTCTAGCCAGCAGGAAGTGGATTAGTTCAATTACTTGTATAACGTAAGCAGTGGAGTTATAAAAACATGATATATTTGATTTAGGAAAGAAATTCTTAAATTCTATTTATTGTCTATTATCCTAACTCAAAATAATATATTTAATGTAAAAATTTGACAAAAATCAGGTGATAGAATAAAAGGATCAAAAATAAAGCCACTATTATCAGGCATAGATACTGATGATGTTATAGTTCTATTTTGTATATGTAATCATAATTCAGAAGAATTTATATTATTGACATACACATCTACATAGTATTATCATAGCAACCACAAATTTTAACTAAGACATAATTAACATTTCATACTCCAAAGAGTATTCAAGAGACTACCTATAGAGCAGAAATTAATGATCTAACTAAAAACTTATATGCAATGAACTCTGATGACTCTTTTCTTGATACTTATAATTAAGGAATTGGTAAAATTTTAGGTTTTTTCTAATACATATTCAAATACAGGTAATGAACATTCTTACTGAATGGAACCTAGAGTAAAAAATCCAGAAAAAAGGCTGAGATTCTTTCCTGAGGTTACATTGTTGTCCTTTCAAAGTAAAAGTGCAAATTCACAATACTCAAAATTGATAAATGCTGCAAAGCAAAACCTCAAACTCACTGGACAGCTCTTTTTCAAATTGCTTCTGGCTCAACTCTGAGAATATAATTTAGGCTAAAGATGCACATGTGCAGGTTCTAATCAACTATGACTACCCTGGAAATCTGGGTCTCCTCTAATGTGGAATTAAGGTGACTACTGGCTCTAATTTTTAAAAATCTCAGTTCTCCATTCAATTCTGAAAGCTCGGAATTTACAAAGGTACTACAAATTTTGCCACTCTATCAACTCCCTAACCATCCCTCACACTGGCTCCAAAGGGAGAAACTTTTAATAGTCCAATTTCACATCATCTTCTAGAATAGTGCGTCTTAGACTTTTTGACTTTCACAGATAGGTATCCTTTCTTAAAATTTGGGTGATAGAAATAGGGTTGTCAACTTTTCGTTATGCCATGAAACGGCTTTTTAGAGAATAAAACCCACTTCCATACATTATCACAAGTATTTTAAAACAGAAAGGATATCTAGTGACAGAAAAATAGGAAGGGGAAAAAGGTATGTTCTAAATTAATTTAATTTTATGAAAAACTCATTATATATTCTATCTGTACATATATATGCTTTTGTGTATCATGCAGTGGCAGGGGTCTACAGACAGAGATTATTCAAAATCTGTTGGATTTCAGAAGATGAATTAATCTAACCAATTTTCTATTTTTCCTCCTTATTCCTCAACTCCTATCTTCAGCATTATTTTGAGAGAGAAGGGGCAGAGCTATTTATACCGGTAGAAATCTCTACCTCTGGCCACTTGATTCATAGTATGGAACTTGCAAGATTAATTTATGTCTTGCACAAAAAGGGTAGCACCAAACTGCCTTACCTGTCTACAGCACCACTTGCAGGGGAGGGGGAGGAGGCAGTTCTTTAGGTAGGGCAGTGCAATGCTTCCTCCTCTTCTGCAAGCAGTGCTGGAGATGCTGTAGAAGGAAGGGCATCAATGAGAGGTATGGAAGAAACGGTGGAGGGAATGAGGAATGTTTGTTCACAGTACTTTTTGTCTGCCTATGCTAAAAACAGTGCTCAGAGTATAAATATCTACATCAGTAAAAAGGTACATACTACAGTATCCCAAACTGAATGTGCTCAATGCCTACTTAAAATGTATGTCACAGTGGGTTCTCTTTTTAGGAGGTCACTAGCGTGTATAATCTAGCATGTAGATAAAAAGTATACTTTAAAAGTATGTACTGAAAAAAGATCTTAATTTCAGCCTTCATTCTGAATTCCTTGGTTGTCTAGGTTCCAGTATAATATGCTTAGGAAAACATTTGTAAATAATATTTCAATTCTAAAAAAATATTTTCTTAAAAAGTTTATTCACAAAAAGACTTTTAGCTGTAGGTTTTCTTTTTTTAAACTGGATTACATAGCCTTTAAGGTCCTTTAAATTCTAAGATTACATTATTTTAAAAAGTTAACATGCTGAAATTTAAGATAAATGCTAAAATTCTGGAAGATTCTACATTAAGGATGCTAAAATTTTTAAATAACATAACCTATATTTATTTATAATACTACTTAGAAGATCTGTCTATTGGCAACAAATGCTTTAGCATTTTTTTTCCATATTATTTAATGGTAAGCTCTGCTCAAGACACTTGTGTTATGTGCTTTATCAACCAAATAACTGTATTCATAACAAATTCATTGTACAGTTCATTTAACTTGTCTAAGTGAAAATAAGATGCACTATATTTGCACTATGTAGTCTCTGGGGCCATATTTCAATTACTCTTCTGACACAGCATAATGTCATACAATTAGTTTGTAATCTTGCCAAGAAATTTTACACATTTTCTATAAAGAGATTAAAGCTAATTTAGTAGCAGTTAAGGAAGTTATCACACTTCCAAGATACTCATCTGTCCATAATAACCTACTGAAATATATTTAACAGTGAGTTTACTTGATCATAACCTTTTCAACTGGCTTTCCTATGAAAATTATCAACTACCTTAAACATTTTGATAAAACTATGTTACTGATGTATATTCTCTATAAACTCTATAATCCTTGAATTCACTCCAAAGACAAATCAGAACAATTTATATAGATAAAACTATGTAATAATAACAATGAGAGAAGCAAATCCAAACCTCAAATTAAGACAAATCATGTGTAAATTATTGGCAGGGGCAATGCTGGCAAACTTTCAAAATCTGACATTTTATGCATATAAATATACCTCATAAGTTTGTCAACAGACGTGGGCATATCTTAAAAATATGAGATGCTATAGTTTATAATGCTAACATCTATTTGATTAAATGATCCCAACTGCTTGAATGAACAAAAAACTTCCAATCTTTTTTAGGCACTTTTACTACCATTCAAGTATGGATTCAAACTGATAAACTACTAATAATGTTTAATATGATCAATCCAAATACGACAACAAGTATTTACCATTTACGTCAAAATTAATCAAAATGAAGAAGATAGTTAGAAATTTTCATACAAATATATACACAATCATAATCTTCCTAAGAGGAAGAAGTATTTAGTGGTAGTATAGCTACCACTGTGGTAGTATAGCTAGGAATATGACAGAATTTTTTCAGACTGCGCTACTATATTGATTTCTAAGACAATCTAGTCAGCTTTTACTGGTAAAATATTTAGAAATAAAACCTCATCAACTATACAAATTACTTAATTTTAAAAGTATGCTAAATATTGTTCTAGTTTATATTTTTGCTTCATTAATAAATATAACCACAGAGTTCCTTGAAGTAAAAAACATACCCACCTCACAAAATAATGTAAGCTTGTCATCTGGTAAAAGACCATTGGCTTCATCAAGCAAAAAATCCCTTCGAATGAATTTTTTAAAACCCCAGTCTTTCCCTTGTACAAATCGATATGCTCTTTGGCTTTCTGGTGAAAAACAGAACAGAAGTTTAAATAAAACAAGTATCCAAGAAACATTTTTGTTAATGATAACACAGTTAAATGAGTGTGCAAAAACAGGAGTTGACCAATACATATCCATCATAAAACTTATAGATAAGTGTGTTCATAAATAAAATGTCATAAGAGTTACGTCAGGCACAACAAGATCATTCCACAGCATTACACAAATTTTGGCCATCACCAATGAGCTCACTTTCAGATTTCTGGATCTCCAAGAAAAAAAGCCAGATCAAATCTTGTGAAGAAGGAGGAGATTTTTCTAACAATCTAGGCCCTTTAATACTGAAGTAGAATCAAAACAAACTGGCATAGGCATACTACTTATCATCTAATAGCAGAACCCAGTTAGAAACATACCTCTTGTTTCCTGCTTCTCCCTTTAAAAATGGATGCTCTAAATCCCCAGGGCATCCTTTAAGCTTTCTTAGGACATCCATCCCACTGATTTAAGTTTTACCGAACTAGAGAAAAATCCATTAACTGGTGAAAAAACTACATCAAGTCCCTTATCGTTCCTAAGTTTTCAGACATAACCCCCTCACCCCTAAAAATAACTTTCATAAATGTCCAAAAGACAATTTTAGTGTAATTTGTAAAAGATTTAACAAATGCCTGAAGTAAATGTTTCAAATGCCTAATATACTATACAACAACTGCGTACTATGAAATAAACAAGATCCTTTACAGAAGTATTCACTATCTGTTACACAAAGAATTAATTAGAGGTGGAAAACCTGTAATAAATCTAATTGAAATATTCCACGTTATGGACTGAATGTTTGAATCCCCTTAAATTCTTATGTTGAAACCCTACCCCGCAATGCAATGGTTATTAAAAGGTCAATAATTGGGATTAGATGAGGTCATCAGGGTGAAGGCCTCATAAATGGGATTAGCGCTCTTATAAAAGAGAACCCACAAAACTCCTTAGCCTTTTCCACCATGTGAAGACAGTGAGAAGTCGGCAGAATCTGACCATACTGGCACTCTGATCTTGGACTTCCCAGCCTCCAGATCTGTGAGAAATAAATGTCTTGTTTATAAGCCACCCAGGCTGTTGTACTGTGGTAGAGTAGCCTGGACTGACTAGACCCTCCACTATCTTAAATGTCAGACAACGTGAAAATACACGTGAAACTATGTATTATTTTGGTAATAAAAAATAGTATTTAAAAATATGTATTTGTAGGAGTTTTTTATTGTAATGACATTACTCGGTTTTGTGATTCACTTCTAGAAATCACTTAAAATTTAATGTGGCAGTTCATGACATTATTTTCCTACTATGCATATTGTACATTTCCTATAATATTCTTCTACTATGAAGCTTTAGGCTACAGGTTTTAGCTGGCTATATTATGTGAAGCCTGAACTGAATTTACTTGGTCCTGAGACTAAGGAAAACTGATTTCCTCTCAGTCAGTGTTCAGTCCACTGCTCAAAAAAATTATAGTGACAAAATATCAGGACATTCAATCTCCTTTCACATTGTTCTTCAGATTTTATTATCTGGCAAAAACGGCAAGGGAGAAGAGAAATATTTCCTGAACACCTATTATATATGCCAGGCATCGAACCAGGCACTTTGCCCTAACAGCAACTATTTTTCCAAGCAACAAGAGAATGTCATTTTAGGACAAAGTTTAGGTGAAAAACAAATTTTAATATTATTTTTAACTAATTTTATATGTCTTACGAAGTCTAAGTACAACAACTATAACTCTACACTGCCATTACAATTAAATAACGGCCAAATTAAATGTTTTAGGTTAAGCAGGTTATAGCGGAAGAAAATCTCCTAAGTTTTTCTCGGTCAAAGTGCAGAAGTCACAGTATGTAGTCACACAGAGACTTCCTCACTCAGTTTGCAAATCACTTACCCATTGCTTTTGTCTCTTCCCTTTTAGCGTTCAGAAGGGAAAATTTGAATTTTGCTCGAACTTCACTTTTTGGGCAGCTGACTAAAAGCAAATATAAGGACAAGTAGTCTTTACTTTCATCATCTAATCCCTTTGGATTTACCCTCAGGCACCTAAAATAAAACAATAGGCTCACATGGAGGAATATAATACTTTGAACATTTGAGAGGCAATACTGAAATCATTTGTTAAATAATATCACGAACAGCACTCCTGTCAATATCCCACAGTTCTTTACAATTCTCTATATTATTAGGAACTTACTACAAATCTAATATAAAAGTAGACTAATATCCATTCAGAAACAACAACAAAACCATAAAGTAGCCATGATTACATCAAAAACAAAAATCCAAAACAAACAAAAGTCTTACCATTTCATTTTGTCACTGGGGCTAGATGAGAATGTTGAACTTTTTAACACTTCACCCATTTCCTCTCGACAAAAACTGAAGTTATTAATCGTCCACATGTAGGAAAATTTTACTACTTTAACCTAAGAGATTCAGAAAACCACTTTTTATAATGATGACTTTTATGCTTTTAACTTGCCACATGTTCAACATCCTATGACCCACTCTTCTGACACTTCTAACAACTATGCCAAAGTGCTTCACAATATTCTCAAAATACTATAAAATTTGTAACTGACAAAAAGCAAGGCACTTTTAACAGCATGTACCTGTGTATAACACCAGCTTTCTGCTATAGGACCAGTAGACATATCTCCAGGGAGAGGTGGGGTGGGTTCTCGAGACATTGCCACTTTATCACAGTCTTCCAAGATTTATGCAATATCCCACACAGCTGAGTACTTTACTACAAAAAGAGAAGTTTCATTTACTTATCAAAAAGTTTACCTGACTGAATCAAGAGGGAAGAAGTATTTTAACAGTCATAAAACAATTACTTTCCCAAATTAGATTATGAGGAAATGTGAGGATTTCATTATCTAATAATTTTTAAGAAATGAAGTCATAGGTCTTCGTGACATACATATAACACTTGAAATCTAAACCAACTTACTACTTACAGATAAGACATTATTATATAAAAGCATACTTCTCAAAATATCATAAATCAAAAATTAACATATAGCTTAATAGTAAGATCATAAACATAAAATCACAAAATAACATGAAAACTAACAACAATTAATATCTAATTCACTTTCCTTCATCTTTTCATTGACATATTGACGAAAATCAAAAGGGCTGAAGTTTTAACAGCTCTGGAAACTATAAATATTAGCATTCATCTATCAGACTCCAAAGTTTTGACCAATTAAAACACAGAATGGGACCTAACAGACCATACTGTACAAGAACAATTATACAGATTTCCACAGAAGTCTACCGCTATCTCAGACAAACAGGTTCCTGATAAGACTTTGCCCCTATCAGAATGCTCCTACCAGATCATATGTACCATATCATAAAATTTCCTCCCAGTCAGCTGTTCTTGTACTTTGGTCGCATAATGAATTCTCATAACCTGGTCAGGACATTAGTTACTAGCTGATGATGCTTTGCAACTTGTCAAGTCTATAACAGAAAGAGGCAAAATCCAGAAGAGCTACATAAGCAATGTACTTTGCAGGGGTGTGTGTGGGGGTGTTTCACGATTACATTCCAACATGGGGACTTAAGTCTAGAGAACCCTCTTTTCATTCAAGAATAATTAATGAGGGAAGAAAACCACAAGAATCCTATAAAAAGAAACTACCAGGAAAAAAAAGGGAAGGATTTCATCTCAAATACAGAAGAAAATATTTGCTCTGTGTCTATACCCAATGAAACAATAGTATGAAACGAGAAAACAAAGACTGAAGAAAGCCACCTGAAAGATAACATAGAAACAAAAAGATCTAAAAAAGGTATAAAAAAATTTAAAACTATAAATGAAGAAGGACATTAACAACTGCACTAGAGGGGGCTGGCCTGGTGGCGTAGTGGTTAAGTTCGCATGCTCCACTTCAGCAGCCCGGGGTTTGCAGGTTCGGATCCCGGGCACAGACCTATGTACTGCTTATCAAGCCATGCTGTGATGGCATCCCACATACAAAACAGAGGAAGACTGGCACAGAAGTTAGCTCAGGGACAGTCTTCCTCAAGCAAAAACAGAAAGACTGGCAACAGCTGTTAGCTCAGGGCCAACCTTCCTCACCAAAAAAAAAAAAACAAAAAACTGCACTAGATATAACCAATCAAAATAAGAAACCACCACTGAGATATAGTTCTGTGAAATTCAAAATCAGAAACAAAATGTTATAAGTATACATGTTCCTTTAAAGGAACAAAAACCAAGATGGCCCCATTTTTCTCCCATTGTTATATGTCTGAAGAAAACAGGATAATTACTACCAAGTTCTAAGGAGAAAAGAGCTGTATCACAAGGATTCTAAACTGCATTATGTTTCTATTCATGTTTAAAGCAGCAAAAATTCATTCCTAGATGTGTAAAATATGTATACCACCTCCATAGCTATTTAGTGGAGGAATAAATTCAGTCAAATTATTTTCCAGCCAAAGACAGATGAATCAAAAGGGAAAACAAAGACAAAAACCCACCATAATGAAGAAGTTCTTATTTTTATACCTCTGAACAAGTATAACAAATCCATAATATTTTAAAACTATACAGACATGTCAAAAAAATACTTCTTAAAGCACTGTGACAAAATAAGTCAAGTGAATAAAATATTAAGTAATATGAAATAACAATTATTCTTAAGGCACAAAATCAGTGGGCACAGGACTTAGTTTTGGAACTATATAAATTTATCAGATCCTTAGAATCAAGAAATAGCTGACTCAAATCAGAAGCCATTTTGTGGGAAAAAAACAACAAACAAACTGCCAACTTAAATGATTTAAAATTTACTTCAAAGGAAGAACTAAATTTGGCAAATTTCTTCTGACAAATTAATCACAATTCATTCATCCACCGGTACTTATTAAGTAGCCACTATTTATAATATAATCTTCAAGCTCAGGAAACACGTTGGGGGAAATGAAACATACCATGAACAGGTAAATAAATAACTAAGCAAGATAACAAATTGCAGTAAATGAAACAAAAAAAAAAAAAGAAGAGAGATAGGATAGAGTAGTTGCTATGCAACAGCTGAAAATTCTTCAATTAGGTATTGAGGAGGCTACTTTAGATAGAGTAATCAGTTTAGGGTTCTCAGAAGAGTTGATATTTGAGATGAGAACTAAAAGATTAAAAAAAAAACAGCAGAGGTAAGTTAAGGGAAGGGTTTGCAAGAGAGAAGAATAGCCAGTGCAAAGGCCCTAGAGCAGGAAAGAATTTGAGAAAATTTAAGGAAAAGAAAGTAGTCCAATGTGGTTGATGTCATTGAAGAATTTTAAGCAGGGGAATAACCATGTAATTTAGAGAGCAGTAAGATGAGAATGACAGTTTTTCAGGGAATAAACTGACAAGAGCAGGAAAACAATTAGGACATTAAGAGTAGTTTGGCAAGAGATAGTGGTGACAGGCTAATACGGCATGACAGTGGAGATGGGGAAAGCGGTCCCATTGACTGGAAGGAGAAATCAAGGATAGGTCCTAATTTGGCACTCGAGCAACTAGCAGGATGGCAATGCCATATACTCAGATGACGAAGATTGAGACAGAAGAGTAATTGCGGGAGGCTGAGAGATTCAATTTCAATAAAGTGATATATGCAATATCAGGAACTACTTCAAATGGAACAATTTTAAAATTAATCCTTTATGATTAGATTGTTTATGTAATTTCCCTTTTCAATTATGGCATTAATACTAATACACTCACTCAAATATTTATGCAGGTTCCTCACATACACGAGTTCCTATCATGTGATGTACTTGCCTCATTACAAAACGAATTGGGGCATCAGCAAGGTAGCCAGGCAAGAAAGTCAGGATGCTAACACTGGAAATAGTCTATCAGGAACACTTAAAAGTCACAATCAGCATTAAAGTAGAAGTGAAGAAGAGTGAATGTTCCTTAATTAAACACTCAAGAATAGAGGCGATGAATCACAGAAGAAAGTACAGGTGCTTCAAAGAAAAGTGAATACACAATTTAAGAGCACTGCACTGCATGTTGTCACTTTAACAAGAATTATTCACTTCTACATAAAAATTAGGTACTGCTCTTAAGTACCTCCAGTTATTATCTTCAATTACCTTTTATAAACCACAAATGTTACCTGCTTTTATTCGAAAACAGTACAGCAAACAGTCACAACAGGAAGTTGAGATCACTAATAGAGTATCGTCATTTTAAAGATGTTGGTTCTCCCTTCATATTTAACAGCTTTATTAAGACAATTTACATATCACAAAATTCACTCATTTTAAATGTACATATCAATGAGTTTTAGTGAGTTTATACAGTTGTGCACTCATTGACACAATACAGTTTTAGAATACTTCCATCATCCCAAAAGGTCCTTTCCATTCCCAGATTTGGGCAAGTACTAATCTGCTGTCTATAGTTATACCTTGTCTAGAAATTTCATGTAAATAGAACTGTACAATATGTAGTTTTATGTTTGGCTTCTGCTTTTTTTCTGAATATGTGTTACAGTTTCCTGTTTCTTTGCATGTCTCATGATTTTTGGCTGAAAGCTGGCCATTTTTAGTTAACATACTGTAGCAACTCCAGATTCCGAGTTGTTTTTCTACGGGTTGTCGTTTCTTTTTAATAACTTGTCTGGACTTAACTGCAGCATCTGTCTCCACCATATTGGGTGGCTGCTGATGTCTGTTTGTTTTTTTTATTCTTAATTTTTTCTTGCCTGGTTAGCAAAGCTGCATACAGGCTGCCCCCTTTCCTTCACACTGAGTTTATTGACAAAGCCAGAGGTTCCCCAGCTCCAAATTAAATCCACCCCATTCAACAGTAAAGTTGCTGGTTTTCCTGGCAAGCCCTGGGATGGTAAAACTACCATTGTTGTCTAATGGGCTGAAGGTAGAAATAGGAGCAGAAATCTGAGTTGGATATTTCTCTTAAGCAAATTCATAGTTAATAAATACAGTTAATAAATGAAAGAATAATGACTACTGGACTTCCCTGTTAGGAATATGTGAAAGGGACCTGTTCTAGTCAATACTTTTGCAGAGGCTCTGAAGCAAGCTGATAAAATAAACCATCATGACCAATTTCAAAAACAACAAACCAAGAAAAGTATCTGCAATGCATATAGCACATAAAGGGTTAATCTCCCTAATATATAAAGAATTCCTAAAAATTAGAAAAAGCAAAGAATACAAACAAATAATTCACAGAAAAAGAACTTTACTCATAATTAGAGAAATACAAATTAAAACTAAATTAAGAGCCATTTCTTAATAAACAGACTGGCAACAATCCAAAAGGTTGGTGAGAGTATATGCATAGGCCTCTCATACATTTCTAGTGTGAATAAGAATTATAAAGTTGTTTTAGTAATCTCCTTTCTCATTTTTTATGGTGAAAATTCTTGCAAAAAGGGAAGGAAATGATGCTAATAAATAAGTACTAATTTCATAAGAATGAAAATGCCGACGGCATTATTTGATGTCCATGAGAACCATTTATATGATTTCTGGCAACTAAGAATGATTTCAAAAACATTCACAAAAAGGTAGTGAGATGAAGAAGCAATTCACAGAAGGAAAAAAAGTTTAATCTCATTTATAATCAATGAAATACAAAAAGAATCCATACCAGTTTTCACCTATAGTACTGAAGATTATTTTAAACTGTCAATCCCGACAGCCATCAAAACTGCAGAGAAGCAGACATTATTTTACTGGTAAGCCTTTTCTGTAGGACAATTTTACAATTAGTAACAAAAGAAAATCTTTGTCAGATTCATCGTAGAAATTCATCCTGGGACAAGTATTACAACTGTGGGAAAAGATAATTACGTATAAACACAGTATGTTTTTTGATATACATGTAGAACTATG